GCCTTGGCCGTACAGCAGGCTGGGGAATTCTGAGAGTTGGTCCACACATCTTAAACTTGCCAAGGTTGAAAAACACTAACCTAGATGCTTAGCATAAAGCTTGCATTGCTTTACCTGATTGGTCCATTTGCATAGATTTCCGCCATCATCTTCTCTCGACCACTGACAGTTCCATAATCTCCAACTTTCCAGAGAGTGTAGTTTTTTATCACATGGCATTCCCCAAAGGTAACACATGTTCCACATTGGTTAAATTTCTTGCATTCTATAAAAATCAACAAAGAAGTCTGACTGACACCATAAAATTGTCTTCCATCCAAAAGATAACAATGATGAAATGAAACATTAGCAAACGTAGTGTTATAAATATGGCAAATAAATAGCTTCAGGGCCAGTTTGCTGTGGTGATTTATGGCATCAGGCTAGAAACTGGGAGACTGTGAGTTCTAGTCCTGCCTGAGGCACAAAGCCATCCGGGTGGCCTTGGGCCAGTCCCTCTCTCTCAGCCCTAGGAAGAAGGCGGCAAGGAAAAACCACTTCCAAAATCTTGCCAAGAAAACTGCAGGGACTTGTCCATGCAGTTGTCAGGAATAAAAAAACTGACTTGAAGGCACCAATATATAATATATATAAAAACCTACGAGAGACCTGTCTTGTTAAAAGAACAAGGAAGTGTAGTATTCTTAAATAGTCTATGGAAACAATCTCTAAATACCTGCACCAGATGTTTTTGACTTCTACTCCCAAAATTTCCTAGGCTGGAAATTTGTCTAACATTTCTAAAGGGGACCTAGTGTTATCCTAAGAACTTATTTCTTTTTATTAGATGTATATTCTATTTTGCGTGTCTCAAGGTGGCGAGCAGACCTAACACTCCTGCCTCCTCCTCCTATTGTGGTTATTTTCCCCACAATAACCATCCTAAGAGATGGGTTGGGCTGAGAGTGACTGGCCCAAAGTCACCCAGCTGGCTTCCAGGCCTAAGGGAGGACTAGAACTCAGTCTCCTAGTTTCTAAGCCAGCACCTTAACTGCCACATTAAACTGGTTGGAGAAAGCTATTCCACAGATACTTCCAAGAGTGTTCTTCCTCATGATCATGACTCAGAAAGCTGGGTAGCTGTGATACATCTCGAAAAGCTTGGAGACCCTTGGTATCCTATAAGATGTCCCCTATTCTTTGCAACCACATTGCAGTGGAGTGCTACATCATCCATCAGAGCTTCCATGGATGTGATGGGGATAAAGGTCCTCTGGAGCTGATTCCTGTCTGCAGATGTCCACATTAACACATGGATATCAAAGGATGGAGATGCAGAGGTGAGAATACTTTCAGGTTGCAATGGGAGAGGACTAGGGTTAGGGTTGCCCCATTCTCTCACTTTGATCCTTTGCCTGGTAGTTGTTGCAGGTCTCATCGGGGATGCCATGCTGGTGAGCATACTCCCATACGCCTATGTGGTCTCCACCGTGACAGGTCCCTGCCTCAGCGCAGTCAATGACGTTCTGAACTGAGAGGTAAGCAGAAGGCCAGACACCTTTCTTCTTGATGTTGATGCGATCTGAGTGAAAAGCAGCAAATAGGAGGTATATGGCATGAGTTGGGGCCTTCAGCAATCTGGAGTTCAAAAGATGCTTTCTTCTGGGAAAAAAGGGAGCAGCCAGCCTTTGGGGGATAAGGGACCCATTTCAACTTTGAAACGATGTCAGGCTGGGCTAACAAAATGGTGGTCCCACTGACAGCCTCCCATGGGGTACTTTTACTTTCTAAGAATAGTCCTGGAACCTTTGTGGGACCTTTCCCATCACGGGCAGGCCCAGGATGGGGTCAGATATTCAAGATAGCACCTGCCTGATCGAAGCCCCACCCCTTTTTTTTACATGAGGTAGGGCTTCAATCACACGCTTGACTTTTTAAACATCCTCCCCGTGGCTGCTTATTGTAAAAAATGATCAAGCACCTTTTCCACCTTGGAGTGGGGGACTCCAGATGTACAGAGTTCACTTTGCAGAATTTCACAGCAAGGGGCATGCTCTGAATTCTTGAACTTGAAACCCCCTCATTGGGAGAGTACTCCAGTGGGGAAAAGCTGCTTTGCAGCAGGCCAACTTTCCTTTATTATGGAATTAAAAGCATATTGTTTTTAAAAAATGAAATCCTGCGGGACAAGGAATTACTTGTGGTCTTGTGGGAGCTGACCACACACCCAGTGCTGCCTATCCCTGCTCCAGTTCTGTAACAGGGCAAATTGTTACAGCACTGATGAATCCCCTTCTGGATTACAGTCAGCTACTCTTCAATTAAACAGAATTCACTTCAGAACTAGACTTTGGAAAATGATGAGGATGTGATGCTAGGGAGAAGTTATAGAAGCAGGAGGGCCGGTGGAAATTGGGGGCAGGCTTAAGGAAACAGAAGATCAACTTGGGGTCCAACCCACTGAGAACAGAACTATTCACTACTGTAAGGTTAAACTGAAACAGACAGGAATGGAGCCTCTGGAGTCACTTCCGGTGAGGAATGGCGAACTGCAGATTAGTGGGAGGCACTTCCGGTGAGGAATGGTGTTCTGCAGATTAGTGGGAGGCACTACGACCAAAAAGGCAGCTGGATGCTGAATCCCGACTGCCAAAATTCTCTCCAGATTAAGGAGAGATCTTGAGATTATCCATATGTACTCTGGACAGCTGTTTTTTTTGTGAGTCGCATAGGACAACTACATACCCGCTAGGGCACTAGTGCTGCCGTGGGCCCAGCAAGATCCGCAGTACTGGGGAATGTGCTGGTTTCGAGTGGCGCTCACATAATTGACTCCGTCTCTATTTCTCCAGTCCCAGCTCTTGGGCAGCTTAGAGATATCCAAATATTCGTGAGGACGAGGGTAGGTTCTGTTAAGAGGAAAGATGAGGATGTTGGAAAGGAGAACCAATTAATACTTCTCCCCCATTTTTCTGGGAAAGAGGAATAATGAGTTCCACCATCGCAGGAAGATTCTACCCATTTTTCCACTTAGTTGGCAATTGTGTTTAAGCTTCTCGTGATTATATTGCCTTCCAGGCCTGCAAGCTAATACAAAAGTTGCAAAACGTTTGGGGAAGTTGCACAAGGAAGAAAAGCATCAAAGACTAAGATGTGACACACAAGAAAGTGTGTGTGTTTTGTGAAAACCCAAAAGCAAACTCAGTGAGTCAAATGGAGACAGCAGACGAGCACAAGAGCCTCTGGCCACCCCATTTATTATCAATAATTAAATTATACTTTATCATCATGTTATTATTACACCATGCTAATGGTGATGGTGAAGACACTAACAACCTTCATGCACAGAATGAACTATTCTTTCTTAGACCTTTCCAAAGCCAGAATGTTTCAGCAAGGATTTTCTGTGCATCCACCAGGGTCTTTCTGAGGACCAGGCATTGGATAGTGAGATAAATGATAATGCTGGTAGCCAGCTGCTGGTCAGCTTCTCCTTCTGAGAACATCAGCACAAAGTCCAGGATCTCCCCAATGTTGATGCCCTAAGAAAATGTTTCTGGTTCTTTCCGGTGACCCACCAACCGGAAGCAGTCCATGGGTACTGGAACCTGTCTGTCTAGCACTTCATTTTAGCAGGACCAGGCAGGCTAAAATGGTGGGATTTGCATCTGTTTGGAAGGGATTGGACACATTCACGGAAAATCCAGGTATTGCTCCTCGGCATGCTGGTGTGGGAGGAGGGGTGTCCATGGGGTAGGGTAAAAAATGTCAAGATGGGGGCTGTGATGGTGCAATGGAAGCTCCCACAGTGCATTGCATGCTGCATATATGTGTTGCATGGCTGGGTTGAAAGAAGATGAGCACAATTTTAAAATTGGAGGAAGAAACATCCATAATTTGCACTATGCTGACGACACTACTCTGATAGCTGAAAATGCAAATGATCTGCAAACTCTAGTAACAAAAGTCAAGAGCACAGTGAAAAAATGGGACTAAAATTATACATAAAGGACTCCAAACTAATGACAACAATACAGCAACTAGTCTTGGTGATGAAGACACTGAAGTGGTGGACAGCTTCTGCCTTTTAGGATGGACTATCACCAGTAAAGGAAGTCAAGAAATGTGCTGCAGACTAATATTTGGTGGAGTACCAATGAAGGCCTTGGAAAAGATATTCAGATACCATGATGTGTCTATACCTACAAAGATCAGAATCATGGAGACAACAGTTTTCCCTGTGACACTCTATGGAAATGAAAGTTGGACTTTGAAAAGGATACAAAGAATATTGGGACTTTTGAACTTTGGTGTTGGAGAAGACACTTGAGAATACCATAGTTGGCCATGAAAGCAAATAAATGGATCATAGAACAAATCAATTTAGGGTTCTCTCTTGAAGCAGAAATGACAGACTCAAACTATCATATTTTGAACACATTATGTAAAGACCTAGCTCTTTTGAAAAGTCCATAATGCTGAGAAAGGTGGAGGGAAAGAGAAGAGCAATCCAGCAGTAAGATGGACGGGTCAACTACAGCAGCAAGAGCACACTGTTGGAAGACCTGAAGGGACAACCTGGGGGAAATCCATCCTGAAGAAGGTTCATCTATGTGGTTACTAAGAGTTGACCCTGACTTGATGGCACATAATCTGATCAAATAGTAAACTGAGAAGGAAGGAGAAATGTCTGGCTTTGATTCCTGTTTGTCACAATCTTGTGTAACTAAAAGAAAAAGAATGGAGTTCAGGGAGAGGCCATTAGATAATAAAAAGGGCAAAATGAATCCTATCTCAGAAGATGAGGGAGGGAGCTATTCCTGACTCAGAGCAGAAAGACAGGTTTCCCTCTCACTCCTCTCAGTGATGAAAGGAAGTGGGGCAAATTAAGTACCATATTTGAGAACACCATTATGTTGGATCCCTTGATGTTTGACATGGATCCTAAGTAGGACTGGTCCCTATGAGTTGAGGTATGCAAAATTACTTTGTGCAGCTATGCATGTGCAGCCACACTGTTCTCTGCCCTTGTATTTAATTAGGCTGATATTTCTGGACATCATATCTAAGGAATAAAAGAGCTAGTCTGTTAATTTGATCCTTCCCATCAGGGAAACAGGGCAACAGAAGTACCTGCATGGGAAAATTCCCATGAGGGAATTCCAGGGCTCAAGGCTAAACAGGTAATCTTCATTTAGTGACCACAATTGGGGCCAGCAACTTGGTCATTAAGTGAAGTGGTCCTAAGTGAAACCACAACTGTGCTTATGATCTTACGTCAGCTTTCCTTTGGTTTACAGACCTGTGAAGGTCATAAATGCGAGGATTGGTCACAAAGTGACTTTTTCATCACTGTGGTAACTGCAAACGTTTGCTAAATCAGACAGTCGCTAAATGAGGACTACCTGTACTAGGAATTTTTTTAAAAAGGCATCTTGGGTGAACAGAATGGCAAACTGCTTCTAAACTGCTGCCATGAAAAACCATATGGATATGGCTTCATAGTCCACTATTTTTTTATTTTGTTTTATTTTTAACCAGCATCGTTCACAAATCTCCTCTTCCTTGGTGTTCC